TCTTTGGAGTGCGTCTTATGGCCAAGTATTTTTGCACAACTTAATCTTAAGATCACAATTTTTGCAGAACTTACAGTTAAAAAGACAAGAAAAGGGCACTAATTGTTGGTAATCAAGTTTTTAATGTGTTGCACTAAACCCTCTAACCCTTACGAGTGACTAGCATCTAATTACAAAATTACTTCTGAATCACTTATTTAGGTCACAAAAATAAAGCAATTGGTCACCAACTAAAGAAGCTTATGATTGTTAAAGGGGAACTGAACCCTAAAATTGATATAGTGTTTGCATTCATTTCTAGTTAGCTTTAGAGGAGTGAGATAAAGTGTTGATATTCATTTTCGTTCATTTCTTGTTTTTTTTACGAGAAAATTTGATTTGAAGTTGCCTTTTTCCCGCTTTTGGGGCTGTAAGAGCGTCGGCTCAAAATAGGTCAGCAGCGGTCGTTTATGATGTCAGTGGTGGGGAACCAACTCAAGAAAAACAACTGTTACCATTTCATTTTCATAGTTAATCCCCATTACAGGTCACGCAACTTCGATAACTCCACAACCAAACCAAATTTCTGTAGGAAGAGTATGGGTTAATTATCTTTCTTCCCCACTAGTGACGTAAGAGCGAGCTAAAATGACCGCTGACATTGCTTTTCTGAGCCGCCGTACTACGAGGCCGAAATACCACTTTAAACTATTTTTCCGAGGCAAAGTTGGGCCCAAAGACTGAAAAAACCCTTGAACATTGCTATTTGAACTATAAGCTGCGATTTAAAAATGGTTCATTTTTAGGGTTCAGTTTCCCTTTAAACAAATTCTCATCAGCACCTTAGGAAATGTGGAAAAGAACAGTATCGAGAATATGCATACTGCTGTTAGGGTATGAAAGGGTTACATGGCATTGAGAAATAATTTTACCTTTTTTCATTTGTATTGTCAGGACTACTTATGATGTACTTGTACTCTTGTTATCCATAAACATGAGTAATGGCAATTACACATAATACAGGGATTGAAATGAAACAAAATAGTGAGCAGACAACAGACAAAGCCTATCACAATACAAAGTTTAAAACAATTATACAAGAAATCCTTTGACTGAAGTTTGTTTCACCCTTAAATTGCATTGTTACCTGACACAGTCACAGTGTTTTACTTCATTTGGAAGTTCTTTCACCAACACGAACTTACTGCTTTTCGCACGGCAGTACTTAGCCTCATTCTGACTCTGATTTTGGAGTCTTCATCGCACATCACCTTTAAAATTGCAAGGCCATGGCAGTTCTCGCTTGTTTGAGGGACTTCTGGTGTAGTGATGCACATAATTAAGAGTCGATATATTTTCCGAAGGACAATTATGGATTACTTGGAAATGTAACAAAACCAGAGACTCAAGAGGAGATATTGATTCCCTTTAGATCTGTTAGGTGGTGTGACAATAACACCAATTCACAAAAACCTTCTACTACTAACTGTGCAGATGATATCCTTGAGAAAGTAGACAAAACAAGTGTGAATATAGTAATAACAGTAGAAGAAGAGTCTGAAAACCTCAAGCACATGGCAAATTACCTAAGGAGACTTTATTATTGGTTTCTTTTGGGTCCAGTTATCACACTCGAATGGCTCAGACGGAAGAAGAAATTCTGTTGCGTGACTGGCATATCACAACAAGTCGTTGAGGAGTCCACAGTTGGCAACGCGGAAACTGAGGAGAGTCCGGAACAGAACATACACGACATCACTGGTGAAGGAAATGAAGATGAATCACAACCTTTGATCATTATAATGGACACTAACGCTGCTTCGACAAGAAATGACAACGTTGGTAGATGTAGAATTGTAGTTTCCATGACGAGGATATTTGGAAAAGGTATTCGCTACCTGACTGTTTGTGTTGGTTATGTGATTCTCGCTCTGGCAGCGCTCCCTGTAGGTCTTTCGAGTGGGGGATGGTCTTTTTTTCGATTTGATGAGCTAGAAAGAGTTTGGCAAGATAATTTTTGGGATGATTTTCTACCCTATAACGGCACCAGACTAAATTTGTTATTCCATTCGCCACAACAGATTTCACTCGCTCTCGCGGTATGGTGGCCAGTTTTTCAAATCTATTGTTTTTTTATGTACAGTAAGCTTGTCTGTAAAAGTACTTGGACCGTTTCGACAAACTTCACAAAGCTGATTCGAAGTGATTGGTTTTCATCCAACATATACTTGCTCGTTTTGTGCTTCGTTGTACCGTACTGTTCTCACGGCCAAATTCAAATTGCTTACCTTTCTGATAGATTTTTCTATTTTACAGTGTACAATTTCATGTGCACAGTTTGCAATTTTCTTTTTATTATTATCCTCAACAAGCACCAAGTTGTCACAAGGTATGTGTTCTACATTAGTGTATGTATGATCTGTGCTTATGTTGAAAGTAACATAGTGGCAGTGTTTTATTTCATTCTCAATTCTCAAGGCGCCCTTAACAACTTAAAACTCACTGCTCTTCGCACTGTAGCACTTGGCCTTACTTTGAGTCTGAGTTTCAGTTCTTCCATGCACATTNTGGCTTGGCAGTTGTTTCAAAACTGGCCAATTCATGTCAACCATTAGTTGATGTAGGAAAGGCAAGAGTTCAAGTCAGCAGAATTGCGCTCATCACGATAGAGAAGGAAAATTACACAACATGTTCGATGTGCGAGCTGGCAGGAAAAGCCCAGAGCGCTGGATACTCTATGGTGATATTATTTCCCTACTATCCTTGGAAATTCGCGAGAAATTGTAGCGTAAAAACGGCAGAGAAGCTATTGATCCCTGTTGTTTATAATGACTTTTGTCAAAATGCAACTTACAGGAGTGATTATGCGTCTTCTATATATTCTATATATTCTATATATTCAGCTGCAGACCTAACAGATGTTCACGTTAGACTGATTTCACCTATCTCACATGATCTCGATAAGATGAAAGGGTACTTGAGGAATCTTTATTTTTGGTTTCTCTTGGGTCCAATTATCACATTGGAATGGCTCCGACGAAAAAGGAAGCTCTGTTGTGTGACCGCGGCGCAAGTTGACCAGGAGTTTGGTAACGAGGAAATAGTTGAAGAGAGTCGAGGACATATCCAACTCGGGACAAGTGCAGATAATGAAGGTGAATTACAACCTCTAATCTGCATAACGAATGACGCTCGAACTAATAATGAATTGATAATAAGTAACAACATGCGTGGTGTAAGAATTACATTGCATGTCGCGAAGATCTTTCGAAGAGTTATCTGCTACTTACTAGTTGGTCTTGGTTATGTCCTTCTCATTCTGGTAGCACTCCCTGTAGGTATATCAAGCGGGGGGTGGTCTTTTTTTCGATTTGATGAAAATGAAGGAATTCGGCAAAAAAATTTCTGGGATGTTCATCTACCACAACAGAATGCAACGGAGATTGCTGCCAATGACATGGGTCCCGAAAGAAGAGCACCAGGGGCTATGATATCGTTCTTCGTCACTGCCTGGTGGCCAGTTTTTCAAATCTTTGGTTTTTTCGTGTATAGTAGGTTTGTGTGTAAGAGAACCTGGACCGTTTCAACTAACCTTTCAAAGTTTATTAGAAGTGATTGGTTTTCATCCAACATGTATTTGCTTGGTCTTTGCGTGATCGTACCGTATTGTTCCCTCATGTCCGATAACCAATTACGGAATACTTTAAATGCCTTTTGGCCTTTTATCTATTTCACAGTGTACAATTTATTGTACACATTTTGTAATTTTCTTTTTATCATTATTCTCAACAAGCACCAAGTTGTCACAATATATATGTTCTACATTAGTGTTTGTATGATCTGTGCTTATGTTGAGAGTGACATTGTTGCAGTGTTTTATTTCATTCTCAATTCTCAAGGTGCCCTTAACAACTTAAAACTCACTGCTCTTCGCACATTAGCACTTGGCCTCACTTTGACCTTGAGTTTCAGTTCTTCAATGCACATAATCCGCAAACTTATGAAGCCACAGGAGTCCTTGTTTGAGGGACTCTCAGAGAGGTGAATAGACATGTTTATCACTGAGCAATTTTTAAGATCTGTTTTTACGATTAAATGTAGGTAACAAAAATTCGAAACCATTCCAAGATTTACCAGCAAGCTTGGGTCTAATTTTTCTCAGAAAATGTAATTTCTGGAAAGGCCTGCCATCAAATGGCCTTTTTACAGACTTGTTCAGAGAAAGTGTCAAATCATCTGATTGTTTATATGCTATCGATTGTAGTTGGATTACGTTTTAGCTGATTTTTATCAGGAGAAATTTTTTTACTAAGGGTGACTGGGCAAAAATTGAAAACAAGGTCTTGGAAAAATAAAACTAAACCAAAAGAAAGAGAAAATACAAATGAAAAAAAGCATAGTATTACTTGAATTTCATTAAGAGAATGAAATAGCCAGAAAAAAGTTAGGACCATATTTACTTGCTCTACTAAATCTGTAAATTGAAATGTAGTGTTACTTGCGCAACACATTCTATTTTTGTTTGTTCAGTTATTACTCATTATCAGTTTTGTTACGTTTAGCCTTTATTATTCACGCCGTGATTGCTAGGAATCAAATTTCGTTACATAACCTTTGAAATCGATATAATCAGCAACTACTACGCTTTTATTTTATCTATTGAGTTATGTGCATGATCCGTTGTCCTCTTGCTATCGTAAGTTTTTGAAGCTATCTCAGCTATTGATTGCTACCCGCAGGAGCATTAGATCAAAGTAAGTCTAAGTTGTAATCATTTTGTTTCATTTATAAGATCTGTGTTTCTTATAAGTATCCTTGATTTATGTTGTAGCATTAGCTTATACATAAGCCTTTCCTTTTCCTTTTAATCGTGTGCCTTTTGTTCAAATCACACAACCACAATCTCAATTTTGTCATGTCTTTTTCCTGTACTATTTGATTTGCAGCTTCCTCCAATTAACATTCTGATTGATTTAACTTGATTTCTGTGGAATTTTTAACTTTTCAACGTGTGTTCGAATGTTCAAGACCCTGGGGTCAAATTTCCCTTAACTCACTCTGCACGTGACCGCCCTGGAAGGTCACATATATAGTCAGGTTTTTGGTACAACTGACACATTTCCTTGAAAACAAGAGAAGATTGCCATTTTGCCAGTCACATTAAGCTAGCTTTATCAGTCAGCAATGATTCTAAGTTCTACGGTTAAAGGACTAAACATATTAAGTGTCTTGTTATAGCATCATGGATATGATCATTACACAGTTACCATTTCTAGTGGCTTCATTTCCAATTTTCTGGCTAGCCAGAGTCAACACTGGTTTCAGGGACTTCCTGTAGTACGATGTAAATAAATACATCAGAAGCTACCTTAATATCATATTTCCCTGTAAATAGGATTTTTAGGCCCTTCCTCCTATTGTGTTATTTTTGAATAGTCAAGCAGTCCCTTATGATTGCATGACAGCATAATGGCGATAAATTAAATGAGCCCCTTCATGATCTGCGGCATTACAAAAATCGGGACATTTAGTGCATTTGCGCCATTCATCCATTGTCTCACCAGGTGAGAGGGTAAAATGAACATTGTAGCCTCGACCCTTCTAGGTGATGCAGGTACATGTATGTCAGATGCTCAGATAAGAGCCTTTGAATAATGGAAGTCTAATGTATTTCTCAAATACATCTGAAATGCTTTCCTTATTGTGATAGTTATTTTCAGCCAGGTTTAAGCTACTAACTCAGAGTTGATGAGCTGACTTGCAAGGGTAGCAGTCTCCTTTTTCATATAAATTTCCTTTTTTTTTTATTTCAGTTGAGTTGTTCTTAGCTAGGTTTAAAGCAGCGTCCAGTGGGGGAGTTTGCTGCTGTACAAGTATTAACTCAGAGATGAGCTGACTTGCAAGGGCAGCAGTTCCTGGCAGCTCTGAGTTAGTTGATGACAATGACCATGATAAAAATTACGAATGCGTTTTAAAGAAAACTTTGTTAGTTTTGTTGTTCAATGTGGTTTAAATAATAAAAATGTTCTTTGTTATGGGCTGACTTTTCTTTTCTATAATTTAAGATAGTTGTTCTTAGCTAGGGCAGCATCCAGTGGGGAAGTTTACTGCTGTACAAGTATTAACTCAGAGTTGATGAGCAGACTTTCAAGGAAAGCACTTCTCAGCAGCTCTAAGTTATTTGTAAGAATAAATTTGTCAGGGACTGACTTGCAAGGGCAGCAGTCTCGCGTTTTAAACCTGTGGTTATTTATATTTTGGAAGATCTTTACAGTGGGCTGGCTTGGAAGGGAAGCAGTCTACTCGCTGCTTATACAGTGTTTTTATAATGCTTCATTAAGAAGACTACTGTTATAATCCTATTTGATAAAATTTTTCACAGATCTGCATGACTTGCAGGGCACCAGCCTTCCCCTAGTTTGGCGCATAGTGTTAATATTGTATAGAAGATTACAGTTTTGACTGGGCTGACTTGCAAGGGAAGCAGCCCTCATTTTGAAACATGGTGTTATGATTTAAATGCTCTTTTAAGATTTTAGAGTCCGTTAAGCTTTCTCTTTGGATCATTTAGAAATTTGGGTGTTTTTGTTCATTGCTTATTATTATTAGTCAGGCAAGCTAGTTGGGGGTTTACTTCAAGTTTTTGCAAGACGTACAGTTCTCCTTGTATATCCAGTCAGTTCTGGTGCTGCATTTCCTTTGGGTGGAGTGAGCATCATCATTCAGATGAATTCTGATGATTTTGGTAGTTTTTGAGTGCCGGTCCTCATCTTTTTACTGGGCTAAGAAAATGTTGTACCTTTTGTCAATTAAGATTAGAAGACAGTTATGGTATTAATTAAAGCAGCTATGGCCCTTTGTTCCTAGCCATTCACATCTAGCTTTGTGTTTTATCGATTTTAATTCCTGACACATCTCA